ATCTTTTTTGCATGTGAAAGAAAATTTCCAGCAAAATCGAGGGAATTTGTTTTTTCTTGAAATTGAGAGGATTCTTGCTTGTAATTTAATTTTGGATGAGAAATTGACAAATCAACATGCGGGTAATTCGAGTTTCCTCTTCTTCTCTTTGAAATTTATTAGAGGAAAAGAATGGTTTGATATACCAGTCTATATAAAACTTGAGGATGCACCATTCTTCATAAAATATAATAGCATTTTTTTTTCTTTTTTTCTACCATTTTCTTTACCGAACAAGTCAGTGATGCCTTTTATAAGAAAATTTCCACACTTTCTCAATGTCATAGCCTTTTTTTTCACCTGAAAGTGATTTTCACTTTCTAAACCACCATGGCATTTTTCTCATTCTGTGTACTTTTCTTCATACACTACAATATCATGTTCATTCTCATAATATCGTTGTCCTTTATTCTCTATATCACATAAACATAGAGTAAAAGGTATACTAGCTTGCCTTCCTTCTTTCTTTATCCATAGTTTCTTCTTAGGTTTCGAGAGAATTTATCTTTTTTTAAAATCAAGAGAATTTTTATTTGTAATTCGATTTCGGAGAAGAAATTGGCAAATCAGCATGGGGGTAATATAAATGTATTAGAATGTAAATTTCTAAAATGATCTTGCCATATACATAGATAAACATATATATATAATACATGAACATACGTTACTACTTACGTTCATAAATTTCAAAAATAATTGTGCAATATGTGTATGCATATGTAGTACACAATTTTACTACGAATATAACAGTTTCTTTATATCTCTTTTTTTTTTGTGCTATATTTATGTTAATGGGTATATACCATAAAAAATTAAAAAAAAACTATAAAATATTATCAGTCTATTTTCACAGTATGGTAATAATCTTGAAATTATAATTATTGTTATATTTTATTGTAAGTAATTAAAAATAATTACCAGCTAAAATTATTACTTCAAATTCAAGTGAAACACATAAACACTAAGATTACCAAACTAGTAGTTCTCTTCTCTGTTTCATCACAACAAAAATAAAAAAAAAATATAATAAATCAAAATCTCTAGCTGTCTTCCTAAATTTAGATAAGAAAAAAAGTTTTATGAATATCAAATTATTGTTTATTTTCGTTTGATTCTAATAAAAAAAGAGAACTCTCAAACGATCAAGACGAAAAATTAAAAAAAAGAAGTGAAGAATGCTAGTTTGCTTTTACTAATATCCCTATTTAAATTTAAATAATGTTATGAGCAAATATAATATAATGATGATCGAGGAGGTCGAGAGGATATAGTGGACAAAGAACTAGAAAAAAGGAGGACATCATTGTTGAGAAAGTCTTAGTGTTTTCTTTGAAATGCAAAAGAAAATTAAAGAAAAAATAGAATCAAATTCTCTAATTATCCTCCGAAATTCAAATAAGAAAGAAAGTTTTATGAATATTGAATTATTGTTTATTTCTGTCTGATTCTAATTACGAACAAAGAACTTCTTAGTCATTAAAATGAAGAAATTAAAGAAAGAATAAAAGAAAACTTACTTTTAGTTATGTATCTATTCAAGTTTGAGATAATTTTGAGAGAAAAAACATCACAATGATGATCAAAAAGGTCAAGAGGAGAATTAAAGAAAGAATGAAAGAAAACTTACTTGCTTTTAGTTATGTATCTGTTCAAGTTTGAGATAGTTTTGAGAAAAAAAACATCACAATAATGATAAAAAAGGCCAAGAAGAGAAAGTACGGTGAGTAAGGGTAAGACAACCATCATTTGGATTTGAACATTTATAACTTAACCATTCCATTTGTCAACCGAAAATATATCATGATGGTGTGAAATCATCAAGATTTATTGACAAACAAAAATGATTGGCTTAACTATTAATTAACCACTAATACTAATGAAGTAGCTAAGTGGTTAAAAAAATTTTATCCCACTTCAATGTTACAGATTCGAACTATATTAAATATGTAAAAATTTGTTATTTTGCGAGTGTATTATAAATTGATATAATGTTTAATTCAGTAACAGTAAAAACTTTAAATCACTACTTTATTTATGAAATTATATTAACTAAATTGAGTTAAATTTTAATAAATTTATTCTATTTTTTAATCAAAAGAATATTAATGTCACAATGAATTAAAAACTTAACCTATAATTTAAGAATGTGTGAGTTAAAAACTTTGACTTATTTTCACCAACAAGAAAAATTAATTCATTAATTATTTGTTGGTTGAATGATTAATGTTTTCATTTTTTTTTTTTTGCGAAGGTGTGTATTCAATTATTTATACATTTAAATTATGATAAATTAATATGCTAATTAATAAAATTTATAAATTTTTCTCTTAAAAAAATTACTAGCTCACTCACATTTACTACTAATTAAATCGATATATGCAATAAATATTTTCATTAGAATTAAAATTCCAAAGAGCAGAATAAAAAAGATGGTTGTTGAATTGAGGAGGGTCCAATCAGGCGTTAATGGACCTGAAGAGCACCGGCCCGTAATCCTTCCACTAAAGAGAGCGGGAGGTTTTCGTTGCTCTGTTTCCAGCCTCACGCGGTCCCCTCCGCTCTAAGAGAGGCGAGCCCCAAGCCTACGCGCTGGAGGGCACGCAACTCAACTCTCCTCTTGGAACGGGCGGATCAGATTTTAAACCCTTCGCAGACCAACCTTCCGAACCTTTCCAACCTCCAGCCATCTTAATGCCCCCACTTGAGTGACAAGCCCGCGTTACCAGGCCCGGCGATCTCTGATTGTGTACGCGTGTATATATAAATTTAGTTATGAGATTGAAGACGTTGAAAACATACACATAAATTTAAACCAACAGTCGCCATCCTGACCTCACTGGTAAGGGCTAGTGTCATTTGAAAACTTAAATTATGAGTTGGTGGGGTGCGCCGGGTCCTCGCAGTAGTGCAACGCATGGACGACGCTCGAAGAACCCAATAGCAAGCTATTGCAGCTGCTCTTCCCCCTCAAAAAACTAATTTAATATCATGTGAGTCAATGACTCACGTATCAGATATTAAACTGATAATAACAGATACTACACTTGATCTTAGCCAAAAGGCCGAGAAAGGTATGAGATCTACGTTGCCCGCGGCTCTCTTTTTGTAGTACCCTTTTAGCATCTCCAGCATCTCTCCCAGCCAATGTGGGACAAAAGCACCTACTGTCAATACTCTTAAAATCTCTTTTTTCATTTTTTGAACTCCACGCACTGACAATACTCTCGACCTCTGCACATGACCCACCCGCCCACACATTAATTTATATTAATGTATTCATCAAGTTTAAATACCACAAAAAGTAAATGGAATTAACACATCACATGAGACATAAATATTTACTTTACTTCATTAAAAGAAATTCAATTTATTAAATCTCTTCTAATTTAGACATATATACCTATATGGTAAAGATATATACAATTTATATATGATAAGCTATTATTAAGCTCACATATACGGAATAAAACTTATGAACATGATTGTCAAAACCAAAAATGCATGCATCTCTATATCTATACACACGCAAAAATTGATCAACACGACAATAATCTCAATATTTATGAGAAATTAACGACGAAAAGAACACACGAAACCAATAATTTTATTTCGTTTGATAAATTAATCAAAACTCTTTATTAATTCTAGATTAAAAGGTTCTTATTAATTAAAAATAGAAATTCAATTATGTAACACATTGCTCGAGTATATGATTATTATTAATATACAAATAATTATATGTATTTTTGAATATAACTTTAAGTTTTATCATATTTATCACAAATATAGTATATCGTTATGGAATTTAATTAAATATAAAATGTAATAATACAAGATATTTTATCAAGAGAAATTTTAACCTTTGGAAGCCCAACCTACTCAAATAAATTAATTGCCAACTAGTTTGTGTCCCTATTAGATAACGAACTACTTTTTCTTAACCAATAAACGATGTGAGATACGGAGTTACATTCACGTTGATGAAGCTGTACCTTTGTAAATTTCGCATTTTAAGTGCTGGTTTTTTACTCTGCCATAATGTTTTACGTGGACTATCATAGTTTTGATATGATCATTTTTTTTTATGAGAAGGCCTGATGATTTATGGTGGGGAGGCGCGGAGAGTAGGTATTTTCATTTTCATTAAATTTATAATACATAGATATACTTTACTTTACTTTACAACACAATATTTAATGCGTTCATACCAAATACTTTAAGCAAACTTCAACCTCGTGTTGAAGAATCCGACAACATGCTATTGTAGTGGCTCTTCCACCCTAAAAAACTCAGCTTAGTAGGATGCGATCCAACGACTCACGCATCAGATAATAAGTTGATAATAACATATTCCATAATTGATCTTCGCCAAGAGGCCGAGTGAAATTCTTCTGAGCCGTCTTCCGATTCAATGTTGAAATTCATACAACTATTATATTGTTGCTCTCACTAGATTTCAATATGGAATGAATAACGTAATATAATCATTTTTTTATACAAGAAAAAAATAATAAAAAATAACAAAAATAATCAGATATGACCATTACATAATCTGAGCCAAAAAACATCGAGTGTTTTGAAACATGACGATGTTGGTGTAACAACCAAGTGTTATTATTTTTATTTTGTAATTATTTGAATTTTTTTTTATATTTAATTAATTTAAGTTGATTTAATTTTATGAAAATAAAAATAATAATAATGATAAAATTGGGTAAAAAATATTATTTGGATTTAATTGAAATTGATTTTGGAAAAAATTTGTGAAAATTTGGATTATGGGGGTGTTTTTGAATAGAAAATCGAAAACCGGGGGTCAAAACGCAATTTAAAAAAGTTGTGTCATGTCAGCAACCACGTCAGTGACCCGGCCAGCAGCCCCGGCCAACCAGGACGCGCTGCGTGGCAAGGAAACGCTGACCAGGGGACGAGCCACGCAGGTGATCCGCGTGCGCGCAATCGGACGGTCCAGATCCGTTCCCGCGCGAACGGACGGCCCAGATTCACTTGCACGGACGGCCCAGATTGTATTGCGATGGACGACCCAGATTTAATCCCAATTAAATCGCGATCGAACGTTTAGATTTAATCTTGATGGACGGTTGAGATTAAAAGGCAAAGAGTATAAATAACCCCACCCATACTTGATCACAAAAACCCTAGCCGCCAGTGCCTCGCAGGAGAAGAAGAACCAGACGTCGGAGGAGCTGGCCGCCGCCACCCACCGCCGCACCGAGGAAGTTTCCGACCGCCGATCGAGGTAAATTTTCTCTCCCTTACTCGTTTTTCGATGTTGAGTCCGCCTATGGCCAAATCGGAGCCAACTCACCAACCGAAGCCCAGCGGTGCCGCCGCGCCCCTCCTCAGTTTTTGCCTCCGATGAAGCCCTTCCCGGCCTCCGTTCGATGCAATTTTTATACCACTGTGATCACCGTTCTTTTCTCTACAGGTTGATTGGAGCCAATCATCAAAACGCAACTCACGCAGGAGGAGCCGCTGCACCCGAGAGCACCGCCACCGGTAAGTTTCGATTTTTCGTAATTTTTTGGTCCAACGAGGGCCCTAGGATTGTTTTATCACAAGGACCGATGCAAGTGTGGCCGAATTTGGCCGAAAACGGCCAACCCGAGGCGAATCGCCGCCTCTTGCGGCGTTGCTGTCGCCGTAGCACGGCGGAGCCACCGTGCCGGAATTTCGATATTGGCCGAAATGGGCCCTAGGTCTGATTTGGAATTTTTTGGAACACGTGCAGGTACCGGTAGTGCGTTTCAGTTTTCTGAAAAAAATTCAGAAAAATTAGGGACAGCCTGTAGGCGCACTGTAAAGCCGTATTCAGACCCCGAAACAAGTAAGGACCCCTCACCCTATTTTCTATCACGGTATTAAAGCTCAATAAATAATTAAATTGTATTTTGTGATTTTATAGATGTATAATTGATTAAGGTTGTCAATAGAGCCCGAGTCTGATACAGTGTTGGTCTGATTATTGTTTGATCTAATTTTCAGTATTAAATGTAGCATAACGTTTGATGTAATTATGTTATGGTCTCGTATGCATGAATCATGGTTTCTTTTATTATGGTTTGTATTATGGTGAACCCGATACTGTATTGTCTTGTTTGGTGTCAATTACTGTTTTACACGTTTTGTATGATTGGATGATTGAGATTAAGGAAAAATACAAAAAGGTTATGTGAATTGATAAGTGGATAATGTGGACAGCCTAACTAGATATCTTGGGAGATGGTGGACGGACCGGGTCCGTAGGGAACCCTACCGAGAACGTGGTCTCTCATACCGGACGGGGTATGGAGACTTTATGTATTTTGGTGCCCATACCGGACGGGGTATGGGGACGGCCCGTTTCACCCTCATACTAGACGGGGTATTGAGGTTCATGGTTTTGGCGTCCATACCGGACGGGATATGGGGACGGCCCTGGAATCAGGTTGTAAATGTTAATGGTTCACGTGTAGAGAGGACCCCCTATGGATCCCCAAGGATACTAGTAGGCTGGTAAAAGAGGAAATATGTTTCCTGATTATTGAAATGTAAAGGTGTGATATATGTTATGTTTTAAAGTGTGTATGATTTCATGATGTTATAAGGTTATTGTTTTCATATGTTATTTTCATGGATCTCGTCGAGATAGGTGGACAGTAAAGGTTTTTATGTTAATAAACGAGTTCGTTATAAATTTTGCTCCATTGGTCATTTTTGTTTTCTACCCACCTTTACTTCTGTGGCGGTGAGATAGTGTGATGTCTTTATTGGGCTGGTGTAGCTCATTCCTTATTTAACCATTTCATATCAAAAGGACATTGTTCCCGAGCCCGTTCCGCAGGAAGACAGCGAAGGGGACGGCTAAAGACTCCATAGCTATATTTATAGTTCTTATCTCGAGTATTTGTGTTAGTTTGTTTTTTCATGTTTTGAGTACGTTTTGGTTATTGTGTAAGGGATGTTAATCAAAATTTTTATTACGCTTCCGCATTTGACATTTTTAATACATATATTTCATTTAAATTTCCAGAGCCGTTACAGTTGGTGCTTCCCCAAGAGAAATGGTTGAAAAGGTGATTTCTTACTTGGAGCAAAAAGGTTACTTGCACGCATAAGAAATTGGTGACGGTATTTGGATTTCCTTCAATTCTACAACTAATGAACCATAATGGAGGAGACCATTGGTTTCTCTGAATGCATGTTCCGGTATCATTAGCTTTCAGGATTATATGTGAAATGATTAGAGTATTAACCAGCCTACTATTCATTCTCTTATTCTTTTCTTTGTTTCTATGATTTGTATGCATAGTAGAGATTTGTTTGGTCCCCCTTCCGCCCATCCTTCATGTTACCGCAAGAAAGTGCATGTGTATCTCCACTCCCAGTCGAATATTTTCTTTTTTGCTTCCATCTGAATATCGAAAAATGCTATTATACCTCAGGAAGAATGGTGCATCCTCAAGTTTTATGTAAACTGATATATCAAGCATGTATTATCACATCTTCTCATCAATTGTAAGCTGGAACATTTTGATGATGTGTTGCAGACATGTTATTTTATCAATATAACTTCCATGGTTCGCAACACATGGATTTGGGAACTTGTTTTTTTATTTTTAATTTTGAGAAGTGGGAATTTATTATTTTTAAATGTAGTTATTTGTATCGTGTGTATACATATATAGATAAATATGAATAATCACTAAAATTGTACTTGGGTTAAGCCTATTATATTATTGTTCAATTATGAGTTACTTTATACTCAGAAGTGAATTATAATTTACAACAATAATGCATGATTAAATTAGTTTCATTAATATCTCCAATTTGATAACCATAAACTATTGTCAGAGAAACATCAAACTTTTACTTTGCAATTGGTCTATTTATTCTTATTCGTTTTCTATATTTTCGTACTTAATTTATAGATATTAATCTTATTTTATAATTTTATATGTAATTAAATTAACTTTTTTTTTATAATTTTCAATAAGTTGATAGAATTGAATTGTTATTTTTATTCAAAATAAAAAATTATTTTTATTATTTAAATAAAATTTTAA